GGGGTGGGGGGAGAGGCAGGCCCCACGCGGTGCCCAGCAGGGAAGCCAGAGACAGCCAGTGCAGGGGAGAGAGCTGGATGCCAACGGGCTTGATCACTCGGCTCGTGTGCAGAGCTCACCAGGGGCCCTCGGGCCTCCCTCACACGGCTGTTGTGAGGAGAAAGAGGGTGAGAGGAACTTGGATAACACTATAAGCTCCTTGGATAAAAGTTTAAACTTCTTTAGAAATTTGGTTTTCTCAACATATGAGGATCCAGGGTGGTGTAGTGGTTGTAAGTATCAGACTACAATCGGGGAGTCCCGGATTCAAATCCCCACACGACCATGGAAGTTTATCGGGCGACCTCGGGCCACTCTCTCCACCTGTCCTACCTCACAGGCTTGTTGTGAAGGGGGGGATTATTAATTTGTTAAATTGGTTTTTCTAGGCCACCCTTCTCTACAAAAGCAGGGCTCAGGCGCCTTACAACAAGACAGCATACCATAAAGAGTTTAAGTTTAAAAACCAGCTTTAAACCCCGCAAAGAACAAGTCAACAAATAAAACAACAGACATTCCAAGATGGCGGAAAGAAAAGAGAAAACGGAGGGAAATGATGTGGAGTGCTTTGGGGAGAAAGGGGGCCTATGAATGAAGTGAAGAAATAAGGTGTCCCGGAAGAACGCCCTCCCCCCCCCCAGCCTGGGCGCGGCACGGCCCGTGAGCCACCCACCCACCCCCACTCAGAGCTCTCTGGTCCTGGTCCCAAAGGGGGGCGGGGGGGGGAGCTCACCAGGCCCTCTTGGGAAGAAATGCTCCAGCTTCACAAGGACCAGGCCTAGAACCACACTTCCCACCCCGGGGAAGCACCAAACAGCACTCCTTCCTGTGCCCCACCCACCCCCGCTTGGACTCTGCCCGGGCTGCAACCCAGGCCGGGCAGCCCCGCATGCGCAGGGAGCCACAGCCTCCGCCACCTAGATGGCGGCCCCCTCTCACCTGGTGACCACCGCCTTGTCGGGCTTCTCCCCCTGGGAACCCCTTCCCCAGCGGAGGCCACCTGGCCGAGGGCTCCGAGCCCGCCGAAGGCCCCCAGGGAGGACGCCTGAAGCCGCCCGCAGAGGCCGGAGGACTCCGGCTCCTTCTGGGGCAAAGGCCGGCCACGCCTGGCTCCTCAGCTGCTCGGCGTGACTCAGCCGGGGCTCCCCGGAGCTCTTCCGCACTCCGCTGGAGGGCAGGTTTCCCACGCCAGGCCCTCCCCGCGTTGGGCCAAGGGCTCCGCCTGCCCTCCAGGGCCCGAAAGAAGGGCGCCCAGCGCCCGCTGAGCTGAGACCAGCCGCTCCCCTTCCCCCACCCCCTGGCGCCGGGTGGGAGATTCAGCTGCTGGATTTCCGCAGGACAGCGGACCGAGAAGCGACCGGTCCATTCTAGCAGCCACAGGCCGGGCCGCAGACACACAAATCCGTCTTCTCCTGAATCAGACCTTTGAGCCTACCGAGGTCACTCATAAGAACATAAGAGAGAAACCAATGCTGGATCAGGCCAGTGGCCCAACCAGCCCAACACTCTGTCACACGGTGGCCAGAAACACCAGGGGCCCTCAGGAGGTCCACACTCTGGTCCACCCAGATGGGCAGTGGCTCTCCAGGGTCTCCCTCGGGCAGAGACCAGCCTTCCACCCCACCTGCTGCCTGGCCCCCCAACTGGAGAGGCTGCCGGGGACAGAACCCGGGACCTTCTGCGGGCCAAGCGGAGGCTTTGGACAGTACGGCCTCGGAAGTCTCAGGGACAGCCGTGAGGGGCCGTGGCTCAGTGGGAGAGCCGCTCCTTGGCCTGCAGAAGGTCCCGGGTCCGCTCCCCGGCAGCCTCTCCACCACTCAAGAAGGACCAGGCAACGGGTCACGTGAAGGACCGGAGGCCCCGGAGAGCCACGGCCAGTCAGAGCAGACAAGGCCGACCTTGCTGGAGGGGGGTGTGTGTGTCTGATTCGGCATAAGCCGGCTTCGTGGGTGTGACTGCTGGCAGACGCTGGACCTCTGCCGGCAGGTACCCTGCTCTTCGTTCAGAGGCTTCCCTGCCCACACACACACACGCACACACACCCGGTCTATTGTGCTGTACACCCCCCCCGGGTCCTGCCAGGAGAAAGGCGGTTCAGGAGAGAGAGAGAGAGCAGAGACCAGGTCACAAGCCAGTGTCTCGCCTGGACAGAGGCCAGCTGGCTGGGGGAGACTCCGACTCCTCCAGTTCCTCCGGCCCCAGTGGGCAGGAAGCCGACGGGCAGCCCGGGAAGGTGCGCCACCCCGGCCTGGCTGGGAGCCCACGGGAGGAGAGTGGTGGGGCGTAAAACAGCAGAGGGGGGAGGCCAAGGCAAGGTGAGCGCTTTCCAGCACCCCCTCCCCCCATCTCGAGGGGGAAGCCCCGGACGATTCCAAGGAGGCACTGCCAGGGGTAGAGGACGCCTGGACATCTGGAAGCCCCAATTCCCCCCCCTCAGAAAAGTACACGGAAGCCCTGGGAACAATTGATCCCCAGGCAATACTTACTTTCCCATCAAGCCTAGAAAAAGAGATTGGATCTATACCCCACGTCCCTTCACTACCCAGAGGAGTCTCAGAGCGGCTCACAAACTCCTTCCCCTCCCCACAACAGACACCCCCCTGTGAGGTTGGTGGGGCTGAGAGAGCTCTGACAGAAACGGCTCTTTTTCAAGGACAGCTCTTGTCAGAACCACGGCTTGCCCAGGGTCACCCAGCCAGGTGCAAGTAGAGGAAGAAGAAGAGAGAGAAGAGATTGGATCGATACCCCATGGCCCTTCACTACCCAAGGGAGCCTCAGAGCGGCTCACAAACTCCTTTCCCTTCCCCTCCCCACAACAGACACCCTGTGAGGTAGGTGGGGCTGAGAGAGCTCTTGACAGAAACGGCTCTTTTTCAAGAACAGTTCTTATCAGAGCTACGGCTTGCCCAAGGTCATCCAGCCAGGTGCAAGTGGAGGAGGAGTGGGGGAATCGAACCCGGTTCTCCCAGATTAGAGTCCGTGCACTTAACCATTACACCAAGAGATTGGCTCTATACCCCATGGCCCTTCACTACCTAAAGGTGTCTCAGAGCAGCTCACGATCTCCTTCCCCTTCCCCTCCCCACAACAGACAGACACCCTGTGAGGTGGGTGGGGCCCAGAGAGCTCTTGACAGAAACAGCTGTTTTCCAAGGACAGCTCTTGCCAGAACTATGGTTTGCCCAAGGTCATCCAGCCAGGTGCAAGTGGAGAAGGAGTAGGGGAATCGAACCCCGTTCTCCCAGATTAGAGTCCACGCACTTAACCACCACACCAAACTGGCTCTCTGTCTTCTTGGTGCTTGGGGGTGGGGGCAAGAGTGGGAGGGCTCCTGGTGTCCTGGCCCCACTGCTGGACCTCCTGATGGGCCCCTGGTATTTGTGGCCACTGTGTGACAGACAGAGTGTTGGACTGGGTGGGCCTTTGGCCTGATCCAGCATTGGCTTCTCTCTGATGTTCTTATGCTTGAGAGCGATCGACAGCCCTTGCACCAGATGGACACACAGGAAGGAAGCCCTCCCTGCCCTCACACCGCCACCAGCCTCACCGCAGACCACCAAGCCCGCGCAACGGGCCCGTTTCCTGTGCTACCACCGTACCGATCTGCAGGCTTCCAGCTACCACCCAGCATACAGACCAGTCCGGCGTCGACAGAGAAGCGCATCTGCTCCAGTCCCCCAAAGGATTCGCAGCAGCAGGACCGTTAGGGTCACAACAGCACCCCCCCCCCAGTGAAGTCCAAAGGCAGGCTGACCAAGCCGGAAGGGAACCCAGAAACAACCTCCCCCAAGGCAGGCCCAGAGAAAGAGCAAAACAGCCCCCAGCTCAAACGGGTCCAAGGCGTTATTCAGAAACCCCTCGCAAACATGGGGGGGGGGGGGCCATTACATAAATGGTATCCCAGAGTCCCCCCCCCCCCCGGACTAAACTCCTCATCTACCCTGGGGTAAAGAGCCCCACTTTTCTGTGGGGGTGGACGTCCTTGTGGTGTTTCCCAAGACCCAAGCACCCATAACCTGAAGAACAACGAGAGGTGGGTGGGACGTTTCTTTGAAATCGACAACCCCTTCCTTCCCCTTTGCATGCGGTTGACTAATCCACACCAGTACTGCTCCTTTATAAAGCTAGTCTTTTCCCAATTTGAAACAAAGCGCTGTGCTTCTCAAACCTAAGATATCAGAAAGCTGGAAAAACTGCCCTAAATCCTACAGGAAAACATCTTGGATGCCTAAGAGTGCATCCTGACCTTTCCCTGCCGCCAGGCCCGTGTCCCTCTGTGACGAGGTGCCAAGGCTGTCGCTCTGCAGGGGTCCTGGACGCTGTCCCAGGCCAGCCCTCCACAGGGAACCCTCCTCCTCCGAGGGAACCCAGAGTCAGTCTCCCCAAAGGGGGTAGATCCGGGGGGGGGGGCAAACTGCAGCTCGGGAGCCACATGCGGCTCTTGTCACACAGTCTAATTTAATGTTAATTTAAAAAGCAAAGGTGCATATATTTCCCCATAAAAACGTGTGTGCGACATTTGCTCAGGTCTTGCAGCTCTCAGACGTCTGACGTTTATTCTGTGCGGCTGTTGCATGAAGCGAGTTTGGCCAGCCCTGGGCTACAGGCCGGGACCGCCTCCTGGCCAGGAAAGGCGAAGACGCTTGGGTGTTTCTCCTCTACAGGTGGAGGGGCGGGGAGGAGCCCAGAGAAACATGAGACCCGGTTATAAAACCAGAGGTGGTGGCAGCAGCGGCAGCATGGGTGTTTCTACACAAACGGCAGAAGCCTCCAAGTGAAGACCGCCTGGAGGGGAAGGGGGACTCTGACGGGGAGGGGGGAGACGACTTCCTACCCCGGAGGAGCCAGGGAGGAAGGAAAAGGCAAAGCAGTAACGGCCGCCAGGAAAAAAAACCCCACACACCCTTGCACTGACTGAGCAAACGGCTCCCGAGAGGCGTTTCCAGAGGCCAGAGAGGACTGTGCCTTGGAGCTGCGGGCCAGAGAGAGCCCCCACCCCCTGCATCCTCCCCCCCCCCACTCACAAGCCCTCCAGGGACCAGTGCGTGC